GAGGAGATGTACGCAGACCTGACCTCTACCCGAAAAAGTAGAACAACTGACAACTACTCAACTAGTGAGAAGTGTGTGAAAGGGAGAAATATAGAAGTGCTAAAATTTGAAAGGGTTGTGGCCTCTAGCCGAAAGAGTAGAACAACTGGCAACGGGACTATTTGATCTTTTTGCACATTTGAAAATGATTCTTTTTTTCAAGTTTTAGTTGGGATGTTGGATTGTTAGTTTGGTTATTTATTAAGCATGGGAATTCTTGAAATTTGATGGGTTTAACTCTGTTTTGCAAGGGATAGAAGTGCAGGAAGCAGTGCATCAAAACTGGGCTGACTGTAAATAATATTTACAGCTTTCCTTCTATAAGTATATCTTATTGTTTGTATTCTTGATAACCCTCTGTAATACCCAATTTATAACCAGCTTTTATAGCACCCCCACCCTTTATTGAAATGTACAATCAGAACACTTGATATTCTCTGTTGATATGTTTTTTTTTTGGTAACCATGGGTTTTGGGGTCAGCTTATGTGCACTGACTAATTCCTTGGACGACCATGAATGGCTTAGAGCCCTCGCATGTGAACCTCTATGGCCATAAGGGATTTAGCAGCACCTAGATTCGAATATGAGGAAGATAAAATTTCCAATACGTCTCCCTGTTCCTTAACGATGTTTTGAATTGTGAAATGCTTACAAACATGTATTGATGCACAAATGGGCCTCGGACCAAAGCCCGGTGCAAGTCAGCCTGAAAAAGCCTAGACCTAGTAGGCTAGTAAGTCTCAACCCATTGATAAGCATATGGTTTTATTAGGTAGTTCGAACACTAATTTGAACTAGTCAAATTAGTATTAGTAGCTATTTTCCATATTTTCATGTTTAGAGTGGTGGGCTAGAAATTAGGAGAGTAGTTAAGTAGTTTTGGAATTTTTCATGTATTTAAGGTCTGTGACTTCACTGCATCAATTTCTGAATTTATCAAGGTTTTTTTGAGCCTTTTTCTCTCTAATTTTTTTTGGCTTTAACTAGGACCTATCAGGCTGAAGCCGGACCAAAAAGCCTGATTGGGCCCTAGTGTTATCTTTTAAGGATTGGATAAAGTCCGACCAGAAAACGCATGCTCGGTTACTTCGACAATTCTGATAGTAATCTTGTATTTCGAGATGTTTATTGTTATTATAACTTGCATCTATAGGAGTTCAATTCGTTTGGCTTTTGATATATAGAAGCCTTTTTAAACCATAAATCATCATCACTTTGTGTATATTTGTGTTTGTTGTGAGGTGTCGTGTGCTTTAGAGTTAAAACCAAAAACGAAACGATATATGTTGTTTGAGTTTTTTCGAAACCACATATGCCTTGAACCACAAAACACCGCATTGCGAATGTTGTACCATTTATGCGGTTTGTACCTAAATATTCTCCTTAAAATGTGGAAAGTGGCAGCATAAAGTTTCATTATCCATATGATATAAAGTCGAAATTTGATGACACTTCCAAACATATTGCAAAGCTTATTAGAACACAAGATCCCCTGGTCCATTAACAACGAGTGTTGAACCCAAATTCACGGGTTCGAGTCTCTTGGTTAGACGGCAAAGCACACAAAAGTTTCTTTGGCTTAGCGAAGAGCCAGGGAAGCATAAAATAACACATAATTAGACTGGGATATGACATGACATGAGTGGGACAGAGAATACATTTTTTCTGTCTAATCAAAATAGGTGAAACAAAAATAGAAAAGACGTAACAAGATTGGTAAATTACTAAACTACCGATTCATATTAAAATTTTCCCGTCCAGTCCAGTCTTATTTGCATACCAAACCAAATCCAACGAGCCCGGTTTATCCTATCTGGAGACTTGGAGGTAGGTCTGGGGATGAGATGTACGCAGAGCTGCCATCAACCCGATGAAAGATCCAAGGGTGTGGTCAACAAATTCATCCGAAGGAAGGTTCTAATAGTAACATTTTGAACTCAGATCAAAAAAACCTGCTTCAAACTAAAAAATGTAACCTGGTCATATCATAATCTGTATATCTTAGAAAATTGTCTTCAAACTTGCGAATTCGGATCCAATCAATACCCCAAAAATTTTGGTGCGAGAAGCTGCAGCCGCTGTAAGGTACTCGGAGCGAATTTTCTGGCAAACAGATAACATACTGATGACGGCTTATCATTATAGACACATTCCCGACCTTCATGAAGTTTCTTCATGAATTCCTCCGTAACATCTGTCGCTCCAAATGTTGCAGGGTGAGCGCCACCCCTCGACCAGTCAACCCAAGTCAAACTCCGGTTCGCTATCAGATTTGGTGCCCGAATCGCCAATAGAGTTGGGAAATAATGTTCATCCACGTAACAAGCCGGCCTGCAAAACTCCTGGAATTTTGGGTAAAAGGTCACGTCTGATATGATGATGGATGCAAGCTTTCGGTTAACTTCAAACCATTGGGACCCTTTTCTCCATTGGGAGATGTTGACTTCTGGCAACATGTTGGGGTTATATCGACCCCTACCGAATGGCCCTGGATCATCAAACGCTCCCATAAAACTGTATTTGGATCTCGTTATGTAACGATATGTTACAGTGAAGTTGTAGATGGGAATGCATGATTCTGAGACAAGAACAAAGTATTCGTTGGAGATATCGAGAAGGGCATTCGCCAGGAGCCTCCTCTCGGCGTCACACATGCTCATTCTCCCCCATTCGGCTATCTACACAATACACTTCGGGTTATAAGCAATAGAATCCCACTGTCCTATAAACTTGCTTACGTTTGATCGTGTACATATAGTGTTTGACTATTAGTCAAATATCTAAAATACCGTTCAATAAAGACAAACTAGAGAATCTTGTAGACCAAAATGTATATTTTCAATAATAGGTCACGATAATAATAAGAAAATATGCAATGACACTACTAGCAGGCTGCAAACCTGTTAGCAACAAGCAAATATGGAACTTTAAATTGAAGGAAACCTAGCAAGATCTAAGACATCCCCAAAATGGAAATTCTCAAAAAAGTTTTACGATCGTCTCTTATTGAAATGCTTAAATCAACGATTAGTTATTAATTGAAGCAAAAGGGGCACTACACTCCTAGGTATTAAGCAGTCCGAACTAATCAAAGGAGTAATGAGAAATTTTAGAAAACTGCCCTTCGTATCTCCGTACTCCCTGGGGTAGAAGAAAAGTATGTGTGCATCATACCCTCCCTAGACCCTTCATTCTGAGTGGCATATACCGGGTATGTTTGATTAACGAAAATCCCTACCGTAACGTTTTATAGTTTCCCTAATTAACTTTTCACATTTTATGTTCCACAACAATTAAAAATTTCCCTAATTATCTCATAAAAAGATCATATAGACTAGTTCCACATCCTAGGTTATCCGAAAGTAGTTGTATGTTGCGCTTCTACTGGTCGTGAACATTAAACTGATTAACGTTCAGGGGAACAGATCAAACACCCTCGTTGTTCAAGAAGCACCTCAGGGTCCGAAGAATCAAAATCAACCACCTTTCTAATAAAGCAAGTCTTGAGGAGAAGAACCCAAAATGCACATATCACAAGCTACAAATAGAGAGAAACTAGGAATGCCCTCAAGATAAACTCTTCTCTAAATTCGACAAATTTCTTCCATCATTGAAAAAAAACCCTTCTTGATCCAGAACAACTACAGGATCTGATGAATTATTGGATCCTGAAACACCTCCTTAAAATGTTCTTTCATGGAAGTCCAGGGAAATGCTCATGGATAGAGAAACTACAGGATCTGATGGATTTACACCTTATAAAGCCCCCAGTTTAACAATGAAAAAGCTACAAGAACCCCTTGAAAGCCTGTTCCCGATTAAAAAAGACACCAAAAGGTTTATGATATCTAAGACTGCTACTGTATTTAAAACTCCCCTAACTTTCGAACTATAATCTAGTCTGAAAATTCCCACTTCAAAACTAACATCATGCATACAGTTAGGTTATTAATATAAATGAAACGACCTGTCAAAGAAAGCGAATTGGAACTTTCAATTCAAAGTACCCTTTATAATTCTAGAAAAACTTGTCCCCTAGTCAAGAATTTGACTCATGAGTTATATAACTCGAGGGGGGTGTAAATAATTCAAAACAGTTGCATAATTATTCACTTTTTCCGGATATTTTTTGACATATAGTTCACATGCTAATGGAATTTCCCAAACAATGAGTGCAAAAAACAACCAATCATATGGATAACAGTTCTTCTTAAGGACATAAATGAACTCCCACAACAAGCTTCGGATTGACAGTTGAAGAAATTATCTAACGAATCATTTTGATGATATACAATCATGGCAGCATATATATACACATATTATATATGTATATATATAATATATATACAGGAAGCATCATGCCAAAAATTAAATAATTGCGAGAAGGCGAGAAGTTTTAATATCATAAATGATTACACTCCTTTGGGTGTGTTTAATCATGTATGATTAAGTGTCTATGTGTTGTCAATGCAACATGTATTTAATCATATATGATTAAGCTTGTGTATCATGCGTATAATGATATATGATATTGAAACTCTCGCAAAATGTTTATAAACATCTATTTTCAACCTCAAAAGATTGGAAAATTGAGGAGCACCCTAATAACCATTTATTTGTCCGGTATGCAAATGTGCATGAAATGCAAAAATGCATAGAAACCAGGAAACATTTTCAATTACTTTCATGCACAGGGTGTTCCTCAATTTTCCAATTTTTTGTGGCTTTCCCCAAAAACTGAGTCTCTCTCTCTCTCTCTCTCTCTCTCTCTCTATATATATATATATATATATACATGTATATATGATCTAAGGTACAAGAAACAAGAAGCAGAACATACCTGACTTGGTATCTGTCTCCCGTAAAAAACAGATGTGTATGGAAATCGGGGTTCATAAGATGGAAGTGAATGAATATATATGGAATAAAGGAGCTTGTGTCCATTAAAGAACCTCTCCCACAAGGGAGCCAACGGCAACGGCCCTTTAGTCAAGAACATAAAGGCAATCTTTGGAACTCTTGCAAACGGATACTTCTTCAATTGTGGCACAAAAGAAGCTCTCCAGAATAGCTCTTTATCACTCATCGTATGCATCAGATTCGAAGGAGGCGTGATCCAATGATCAAGATTGTTCTTTGGCTGTTCTAGGATACATGGTTGTAAAATGGGAATTGCTGAAGTTACTGTAGTAACAACTCCGGTTTTACGGATCATATATATACTAAACAAAGAAATGGCAAAACAGAAAACTAGAAACAAGGCAAGTAACTGTATAAGCCTTTGTGGCAAAGCCCTAGACTGGCTTGGCCTACTTACAACTGTAGTAGCAGGCTCTTTGCCTTCCTCCATTGATAAAAAAAAACAATAATCACAGATTGTATCTTAATAACACAAAACTAGGAGATTTTTCTTGTGGGTATGTTGTTTCATGGCTCATAAACTCCTTTGGGAACCTTCTTGCATCCTGAAACATCATAATAATGGCAAGAGTTAATGAGTCCTTTTTTGGTAACAAACTAAAATAGACAAGATCCCAGATGTTTTGATTTAGTTTTAAGACTTAAAATCAAACGGGTTGTTTTTAAGGATTCAAGAAATTTGGAAATTACCACAATAATACAAAGATGGAAGTCTTTTTCCAGAATAATACAATCAAAATCCTATCAATCTACTCAATAAGAGCATAAACCCATCAACATTAAGAGTTTTAGGCACAAAAAAGGAATTCCATAAAGCAAAGGAATATTATGAAGGAGAAAATCCTTCTTACAAACGGAGATCTCAAAATAATGCAAAATCGATAAATAAAAAAACAGTTGTTTAGAGAAAAGAAAACACTTGAGATTTTCACAACGATTACCAAGTTACATCAATACACGAGGCCCTTAGAGAAGAACACGACATCAATTTGATTATAACAGCAGAAACCCAATCACAAATTGATATCATATAACATGGGTGATTGAAAAAAAAAAGTAGAAAATTCTCGAAAAAGCGAAGCAATTTAACGATCTACGTGATGAACAAAGAAGAGGGGAAACACATACCATGAAGTGATGGAGAAGAAGACCATCCAACAAAAAGAATTAGTGATATGGTAGCTAATTTTTGACCCAATTAGTTGATTGATTGCTAAAAGGAGTTGGCACTTGGACAGTGAAAGAGAAGCGTAAGGAGGAAATACAGGAGACAAAGAAGCTTATGAAAGATGGAGGTGCGAAACGTATGAAAAGAACGACGAGATCTATGGAATTTGATGTTGTTTGCTCCCCCACTTTACAATACGATATCACACACAGAGAGGAGAGAGAGAGAGAGAACCAGTTTTCCTTTTGTAATTTTGCATTAATTTATTCTACATTTTCTTTCCATCCTAAAAAATATTTTCTCAATCCTTAAACCACATGTGGAATCTAAATATATTCCCATGTTTCATCTCACAATATTATTTTACGAGTTATTTTGTTATTTAAGATGTAAAGTTTTAACCGGTATATAGATAACCGGTTGAAGCATTAACGGATTATTATGTCCGTATAATAAGTGATGTGATATCCAACTTAGTATTATTTGCTGTCATGCATATCTTAATCTAAAATTACTTTTAATGTGTTATGGTTCATTAGAAGAAAGAGTTAATGCTTCAACCGGTTACCCGAGTATTTAAATGTTTAAAACTTTACATTACAGGTACCAAAATAGAAGTTTTGAAAGTACGTTACCCAAAATTGAAATCAAGTTCAAGTACGTTACTTTTTCATGCAATTCGTCCTGTTAGTTATTATATAAGTCCAAAAAATTATCCAGTACTCCTAATAATCGGATTCCATTTAAGACCAATTGGGATTAATGTAATCGATGGTTTGTCTAACTATTAATTCTTTATAATTAATCATCAAAAATGTTGTTTTGTATGATCAAATCATGTCTTCCAATTTTTTGTAAGGAAACAAATCAAGACTAGAAAGGAAATGTCATGTTTTTCAGAACTCAAAAATTAATAAATATATGTTGTTTGTAGACAAAAAAAGAAGAAGTAGGGGCTGTTTGACAATTACTAAATGGTTCGATGCAAAATGAATAAAAGGCTCTCATAATATAATACAAAATGAAATATAATTGTTTGGTAATTATTTACAATGAAATCTGGGCACTTAACGGTTAAGGGAGGCCCAAGATACAAAATCATTCAGAGGGTTTTAGAAACATTAAGAGGTAAAAAAAAATTTTTGCCAAACAAGATTCACCTCTTAACGATTCAAAGTTTGTCTCTTAATGGAACTATTAAGTGGTCACTAATTTTTAAAGGTTTTTTTGGTTATATATTTAAATAAAAAATGTATCGGTTTATTTTTAGGTTCAAGGTGGTCATGTTCCTCGTAGTCGCAGGTTCATGTTAGGTGGTTTTATTTTGTTTTTATTTGATAAAAGCATATAAAACTTGTCGAATATGTATTTATACTACTGAATTTGGATGAAAATGATACGAATCGTTATCATTTCGCTATGTATTGTTAGAAATATCCGTTTAAACTTTTTAAGATTAGAATTGGTATGAAATTTTGGATTTTATGATCATCGTCATTGTTTTATTTTGTACCATATTTTAAAAGTGACAGTATTTATTGCATTAGATGAAACGTAAAAAGTAAATATGAATCATAAGGGTGGTGTTCGATTGGTTTGAACTTAGACTCCAAAGGTCAAAAGTGCAGGAGGTCTCAGGTTTGAATCTAAAGAGGAATAAAAATCCCTTCGTGGCCACGGAGGTTCAAATGTGGTGATTCCGAGCTACCCGCGAAACGGGTGGTTGTCCTGAGATTAGTCGGCTCGCATAACGGGTTAGATATCCAGGTTAATAGAAAAAGTAAATACAATTTCCATTGTCTTTGTAAGACGAGTAAAAGACCGAAACATGATATATTAATCATATCTAAATGTCTAACAATTGTTAAATAATGTCAACATTTAAATTCAAGAAATCAACGAATTCATTAATCATATGTGTAATGAATTAAAGTATAGGTTGTGAATTTCTATCTCAAATGATATGATTAATAAAAAAATAATTTATATTGATTAAAAGATAGTTTTTTAACCAAAGAGCCTTCGGCCTAGCGGTATCGTAGTCTTTGGCCTTCTAAGGAGGTTAAGGGTTCAAACCTCACCAAATGTGAGGAGGGTGTGTGAATTTATTTGTTGCATTTGTCGTATATAAATATTATTATACTTAAAAAAACAATAGTTTTCTATGTTAAAATGAACGAGGAATGAAGTCGATAAATTCCACAAGGTGGACGTGAAAGAGTCAAAAATGATTTTATGAGTAATTAATAGCATTTAAATATAATTATTATCAATAAGAACGAAATAAGTTATGCCTATATGTTCATAAATTCATCACCCTACTTTTTTCATGATTACATAATAAATATTGATTTTAAAAGTGTAAAGGAAAAAAAAGACAAAATAACTATTTATTTATTTATTTATATAAATAAGAATGATTAAATATTATGACAAGATAAAAGGAAAATTTAAGAAGATTCATATGTGAATTATTAAAAACATTCGGAGATGCATTTGTAAACCATATGAATTAATGGTGTGCAAAGCGTGAACGGTCTGAAATCCGAAACCGAACTGGAAATACAGTGTTTGTGCAAAACCCAAATGTCCGGAAATTCAAAACCCGACTTCTAAGGGGGATATTTGGGTTTGGGTTGGATTTGATTTTTGGTCACCCGGTCTATCCGAAAACTTGAAATATAAATACATGTATATTGTAAATATCATCTAAATATATTTGTTTATCTAATTATCTTTTGAAAATCGTAAATCCTAGTCATGCTCTTTTCTAATTCCATACTCTCAAATCGCTTGAATTTATCTTGAAAATCGATTGAATATATATAATTTGCATTATAACTAGATCCAAACCTTGACCAGCCCGAATCAATCTGAAATCCCTAACCCAAAATTCAGGGTGTTGGTTTCCATATCCGAATCTGATCGAATTTTGGTTTTGTTCATCTGAACCCACCCAGCACGTCCAATCCACCCCTAATATGATGTCAGTTCATCATCATGTGTGTTCAAATATATTTTTTAAAGATTTTTTCGACAATCCATGTAAGAAGGAACCTAAATCCCAAACAACCATCTTATGGTAAAGAAAATCATTTCAATTACATTATAAATATATCCCTTTCTAGACACAAATTGACATGGGAGCCCACATGAACACAAGGTCTCATATTCATCCAATGTTATTATTGCATGTGTTTACATCATGTCATCACATAATCATTAATCAACTTTTCATACTCAACCCAATATTAGTCACATTAAAGATGACAATGATGTGAGTTGGAGTTGGACCGTGAATTGAGAATTTTGCTGTTTTTGGATATATGACAGATTTCTGCCCGCATGAAAAGATTGGCTAAAGATTACATCCATGAAACTGTAATTGCTTTTGGTTGCAAATAACCAAGCCCACTCATTAAAAGGTAGACCTAACTTAGGGCATAAGATGACCCATGCTACTGTTTCATTGTCAGAAGAAACAATTACGGCTTCATTTTGATCAAATATGCCAACAACCAGGGCTGTAAACGAACCGAATGAACAAGAACGAATGCTTGTTCATGTTCGTTCATTTAACTTAACCGAATAAACGAACGATAAACGAACGAAAATCTGTGTTCATGTTCGTTCGTTAACATGCTGAACGGACTAAACGAACATAAACAAACGAGCTAAATGAACATAAACAAATATTATCTGAATTCAAAGTAAATAAACAAAAGATTATATATTAATTTTAATATATAAACAAACGGTAAATGAACGAACGTTCACGAACATAAATGAACGAACGGTACTCTTGTTCATGTTCGTTCGTTTAATTAAACGAACAAAAAAAAATAAACGAACATAAACGAACTTTCCGCCGAACGGTTCGTTTACAGCCCTACCAATGTCTTGGTTAAATAAAGAAAAGCGACTATTCAAGCCTGGTCTAAACCACCTAAATTTTTATAACTATAATTTTTTTTTTTAATTTTAAACTAAGATAATTATTTTGTGTCATGTAACAATTTTTTTTTACCGCAACCACCACCATCCATCCTCACCACTTTAAGAGGATTTCAACGGCTTCTATCACCAACCATAAGCATGGTTGATTTATGCATACCTTCTTTCCAGAATACCTGCATTTTTAGTACCAAAGCTCTACACCACTTTCATCTACAACACGGTTTCAAAAGGGTGGTGTTGTATGTACATCTGTTTATATCAAAATCAAGTCAAATTATACATTGAGAATGCAAAATTGGTGTCTTGAAGTTGATGTGTGAAGATGATATTGAATTCCATGGACCCAAACATTGACCACCGACAACGCTTGAAAAATAACACGAAAAGTATATGGGCAAGCAATTCGACCCTAAACAGATATTGCATAATGCATACCCCATCAATTTTTTCTTGTATAAAAAACGACAGAATTCGAAAAGATTTATCCACTGCATGTATAAAACGATGCTATTATTTAGAGATTTTTCTTACTCAAGTCGACAACTTTGAACATAGCACGCACGTTAGAGATCATCACCGGACACTCTCCCTTCTCATCATACTCGGCAAAGTCCCCTCCAGACAAGTCGATATCCTCAAATTTCGTTCCTTCCATCTAAAAACAAAAATGAAGGATAAAATTTCAAAGTTATGTCCCAAATTGCAGTTTTACAAAGCAAATGTTTCAAAAAATGCTTCTTTTTTCAATGATCCCTTAGATTAAAACTTGTTGGCTTATCTCTTCCCGTTACAAGTTCATTTAAGCATTTAAAGCTTTTAAAGCTATACCATATTATGGTGCTTAAGACTGGAAAGTGTAAGTATTCGGCTATTTTAAAGATATAACAAGGTTAAGAGCACTTTTTGAAATCATGCGATGAAAGCTTTAAAAGTATCATATGTGCTTACAGATTCAGCTTTCCACCCACTGCTGAATGCGAAATCCAATGGTTCATAACCCCTGCAGTCGAATACCATCAAAGGAGCATACTTCCCTGTCTCACTGGAGTCATTAGTAAGCGGAGAGCCTCGGCCTGGGATCATGGTCACTGTTCCTTCCCTTTTACAGAACTTACACTGATACACCACAAACATAAATCTATATCACTAAGAAGCAAAAAGTATAGTCTAATATCAAGCCTCATATTTGAAACTGACACCAATTTAACTTTGATTCATGTATACCCCATCTGTGCATGTACCAAACCGAACAAAACTAATGGGTCCTTCACTGAGTAGGGTCTGGGTAGAGTAAGATGTACGCAGACCTTACCTCTATCCCGACTGGTAGAGAGGCTATTTCCTATAAAGACCCCGGTTTGAAATTTTTGAGGCAATTTCCGAAAAGACCCCAGCTTGAATTTTTTTATGGAGGACAACTCAGAGAGACATCTATAGCAAGAAGACAAGTTTTAGATAACTCTCTTACCAAATCATAAACTTAGAATTCTTAGTAGTGATTTGCCATTAGCGAGGTCAATATTTCAAAAACATCATTGTTTGGGATACCTCTCTTTCTTATAATGGTAATTGACGCTATCCCTTACATTACTTAAAAATTTTATATTCCAATGATTATCCCCATGCAAGCAAGACTCGGGAAAATGTACAGAGTTAATTATTATTTATTTGTGTATAGTTTTAGGGTTTAAGATTTCTATTACCAAGAGGGATCCCATTTTAAATACACAAACAGAAAAATAGGAACCTCGAAATAATACATAACAGAGAAATAAGAAACCACAAGGCTCCAATTCTGCAGTGTCCTAAATCAATACATAAGATTCTCTGCATGGAGGCCTTGGAGTATCTCAAGTGACTATACTCACGAAACAAGAGATGTACAGTACACAAATGCAAATTAAGCTTTTCCTACCGATTGTCTGTAAATTTCTCATGTTTTAGAGGCTTTTTTCGATCTTCAGGAAGCAACTTTCAGTTATAGATAAAGGTGAGTTTACCAGTTTATAACCCATAAATCCACATTCAAATAGCAAGTCAATGACCTGCTCCTTTGACAAAACAGTATCCCAAGTTACTGAACCCTCGATACCCAAAATTAGCAAAGAAGTGATCAACGATTCACGATAAAGCTTTATAGCTTGTAAATATCCTCATCATGATATGCTGCTAGAACTACGTAGTCTGTACATAGAATGAGAATGATACTTTGCAAAGTATCAATACGATAGAAAACAGATCAGTAGTCATCAGTCCTAGACAATACAAACGGTAGAATAACCCATCAGAATTGTCCACACCATGCTCTGGAACACTACTGCATGAGTCTACACAGGGAGAGCGGAAGGCAAGAAACATTAGCAACCTCCTTCAAACTACAAAACCAAGTGGTTGATACATATACCACATAAGAAGGTGTTTGTACCCAACTTATGGTGAAACCAGTGACAAATAGCTAAGTAGGCCACACAGTTGGACATAATATTTTTTTGTCACACCTAAGTTTTCATAATCAATTTCATAGGTTTCGAAGTAACCTTTGGCAACAAGACAAGTATTCAATCAATGAAAGGGAATCAATGTTCTATAGCTTACACAGTATATACCCACTTACAACCTACAGAGAGTTTCATTTTTTTATGCAATTCCTCTTTCATAACCATATACCACCCCATAGAGCCTCTTGCACATTTCTATTTGTTAGAAGGAATCGATTGAAACAACAATATTGGCTAGGTACTTTTGTATAAGATGTCAAGTACAAATGCAAATGCCCTTTCACATGGCGATGAGGGTAATTGGTAAAAGGACATCTCAAAGACTAAGATGAGTGCATATGGATACTATCAGAAGGTGAGATTAGTCTGGTGTGCCTTGTGGAACTAGTGATTTGCTACCATAATCAGCCTAAGCAGACCGCTCTACAACAGTCGCATCTACAGTGCCTGGTGTATGTGGATCAGTCTACTCAAAGGTTGTGTAATAAAAGACCAAGCTGCAAAATCCAGCGAAGATCCCTGTGCTTATTCTGAAGTTGGAGCAATTGGCATCAAAATTTTCTAATAAAATCTGTATGGGAGAAAGTAAATTTCATAAGAAAAGGAAGCATGATTTCAACAAAACAAAGTTGACTTCAGCAAAAGTGAAGCACCTCTCTAAAGTAGAACTATAAAAATTTTAACTTCTGAAAAGGTAACCAACAAAGACACATTGAAAAGTTGTAGGATCCAACTCAATCCTACCGAGATACACATTAGAATAGACAGCCAAAGAGGTGGCACATGAAACAAAAGGGAAGACACATCAAAAAGACAGATAAAAGGTATTTTGTGATTGCATACTAAGGGCATCCATTGGCGTAAGAAGTTTGTTGGTTTTTCTTCTTTTTGACACAAGTATACACACACGCACACACACACATATAGGGTTGCGTTCAGGGGAAACCCCTAAAATGAGGTGATTGACCTCCTACAAAGAGAGTGAACCAATCGATCTTTTGCCTCCGAATATCTATTTCCAGAGGGAGGTTGTTGTACAGTTGGTTGTACTTCATGTTTTAAGGAGACTTATGCAATCTGGGAATAAACTCGTTTTAAATATATTCCTAATCACAGTATCGGTAATTCAGTATCATTAAGAAAGTTTAATATTCCTACAAACCATGAATAAATTTAAACTAAAAGTGGCTTCTAACTATGCTAATCTTTTCTTAGCTGATCCATCTTTACATATGCATAATCTCAATATCTCATTATTCTTATTTCCAAAGTCTTACTGTTCAACTCCCCCCCACCCCCAAAAAAATGATGATGATTACAAACCAGTGCTGACAATTCTGCAAATCAGAACATCTGTACAGAAGGTTGAGTCTTCCCTGGAAATTGAAATATAATTGTATGCTTTATCAAAATTCCTAACATTACTCCTTCACTGTGTATTGCATTGTTACAGAGAGATAAATGTTGTTGCTGGCTACTTGGCTAACGAAGTACATGGCCACAAGAGCCTTCAATTATACACAAGTCTGAGATATTTTCATGCAGATTGCTTATGGTTGATTAAAGCTGATTCATTTGTGGAAACATATCTGGCCACTGTTGTTATATCCTTTAGAATATATGTTTGGTTATTAGCTTCCGGGTCTTATAATAATTAGTTGCTTCTGGTAACTCTTTCTATGTATAGGCAGTAAAGCTCTGTTTTTCTTTTTCTTCCTCTCCGAGTGGAGTTAAGATATTCCTTGTGTGGCTACTAGAGGTTAGGTAATATGTACTGCCTCGGGTATGATCTCTCAAGCTCATGTATTCTGCAAGGGTTCCAATTCCATATATCAATAATTTTAACCATCCTCGGTGGGTCATGCTTCAGAGATTATATATATACACACCAAGGTGATCAGCTATAAGCACCAATATGAGCATATTTGGTTTCTATAGAGAGATCAAGAGATACAAACCTTTTGGATAAGATTGGTGGTACCCTTTTTTGGTAGAGGAAGTGTCTCATTCAGGCTAACGCATGTCTCTTTCTCAGTCACCTCACCACAGTTTTCACACTTCAACTACACAGCAGAAGTAAAGACAAGATATGTAAGTAAACATTACAAAGCAATCACCTGAAATAGGAAGTAACCCTGAAAGTGGTTTTGTGTGATTACTGCTGATTGGAGAAAGTGACATAAACCACATTAACAGTTTAAGTGAGAATCAAATGAGTAGTTGTTAGCACACCCAACATTTTTCTTCAAGATGGGTATAAAGACACATCAGACAGCCCTGAATATATCTTAAAACAATTAGAGACGTAATGAAAACTTCAAATCCAGACAGCATCATTCTGGACATAGGAAACTAGATCGATCAATGTTTATGCACAATAAGGTGCATAAGAAGAATCTTTAGTGACGACAGGAAACTACAGCTAGCACTGGCCATAGGGAGCAAAACAATTACTTATGGTACAAAAAACTAGAAAGTGACGTGACAAGAATTTATTTCTGCCACATCTTATTGTATGCAGAGAGTGGATGAGCGATGTATGCATGCATGAATGTAGGTGTATCCAGGTACATCATTTGCAAATAAGATAAAAATATAGAAATCACTGGATACATACAAGAATTTTCATAGCGAACAACTGACATTAACCACAGGAAACAAAATAATGCTTGAAGCCTTGAACCAGATACTGAAAACTAAAGAAGTGATGTGACAAGAATTTACTTCTGGCCCACCTTATTATGTGCAGAGTGTGGATGAGCAAATGCATGAAAATAGGTATATCCAGGTACATGATTTATTTATCAGATACAAAAAGACATTAGGGAATATACTTTGATTATTGTCTCTGGACAAACAATCTGAGATATAAAACAAAACCACAATCATAGCTGACCTCAGGAGAATAGAAAAAATGAAGGACATGCTTGATAAAATTCAGGAAGAAGTGAAAGAAATTTGACTCTGAACAAGCAGTGAACCCTTGGCTATATAACCAAAATATATAGTCTTTACATATCCATATATTAATCTTCAATAGAAACAAAAAAGAGAAAGTGCATATATTGATTCTAATCCATCTACCACCATTATATCAATAAGGATTTCTGCACATGTGATGACAGTAAGCAAAATCCACCAGCTAACTCCTGTGAGCATCTCATATACTCAATTTGTTTGCTACAGCTACTCAAACTTTGTGGTGGAAATGTGACATCTCTGAAAGAAATGATTTGCAAGGGCATACTGATGAAATTCAAATTTGGTTGTATAAATATAAATGTAATAACTGAAATGAGACATAAAGAACATGCAAATAAACCCATACATGTCAAAATAAAACAACCATAGTTAACCACAAGGGTGGTGCCTGATTGGTTTGAGCTTGGCTCCAAAGGTCAAAAGTACCAGGAGGTCTCAGGTTCAAATCCAAGGAGAAATAAAAATCCTCTTGTGGCCACGGAGGTTCAAATGCGGTGACTCCGGGCTATCTGCAAAGCAGGTGGTCGCCCTGGGATTAGTCGGCTCACATAGCGGGTTGGATATCCAGGTTAATAAAAAAAAAAAAAACCATAGTTGTTTAAAAATGAAGTTGCATAGAAAACGAACTTCAAATTTCAGCTATAATTAAGCATAATGCAAGAGATCTAGCTTAAAGGTGAACTTGTGAAAATTGATTTCTATCATAAGGCTAGGTACAACTAACAAATTGTTTAGGATACAAATTTGAACTAAGACAAAATAAGACGCTGTTGGAGAAGCAAACAATTAAACACACACAAACACATCAATTAGAGACATTAAATTATTATGATGGGGATTCAATATTATTGTCAAATATACTAAAATATTGAACCTAGAACCAAGAGAGATCAGAAAGTTAAACCACCAATATATGATACTAGTAACAAATTCATTTCCAAATAGATAGGCAAATGAGGCATCAAAAGTTCACAAAAATTTAATAACATAGATTACTTGTATACAACCAAACAAGCTCTGTTGAAATATAGATATCGATTAAAAGTACACACACACACACACACTCTTTGCCAGTCACTCTGCAAAGTAAAGTGTTTAGTAGTATGGTTGAATAATGACTCGATTATCCGAAACAGGTCGATTAAAGGCCACAAAAACCGAATCGGACGAATGTCAAGAACTTAAGAAACCCTAATTGTAAAACAGAATCGATCGAACATAAAGAGCCATCGAGGAATCCAAATTTCAAGTACAAAAACAGATAGATTGCACAGACGAAATCAATTAACAATTAGCGTCGGATTGCAGCTAGAATCGAAGCAATCAACACATAATGCAAAAATAAACCACACAAACATCCGGAGTTAAGATACTCATAGATCCGTTGAATTTTGAGAAAACCTTGAAGTAGTAGGTGAAGTCAGGATCATCAACACCGCCTCGAGGCTGAAAGTTTGTGAGATTTTCGAGCTCCCCGCTGATATACAACATGTAGTTCACCATATTTTCACACACTTTCCTCTCTCTGGAATCAGTGATGCTTTCGGTAGAAATGATGGTTTTGTTTCACCGGAAGAATACGTTCATTTTACAAGACTTCGGGGGTGTTTGGGTAAGCTTATTTAAAGTTGCTTCACGGATTGTGGAGTTACGATCTCTTTTTGCAACTTTTGGATTTCTATTTCCTAAAATCCAAGGTATTATTAATTAGAATGGAAAATTATAAGGTTATTTTTAACTTTAATTATTAATTATCTTTCCTAAAATCCATGTCATTAACTAGAAATCATGATCGATTTGTTTTAAGCGTAAAACTTCGATAATCAGTAATAAATAAAGTAAGGGTTCGATATGTCAGTGAACAGTATCAACAAGTATTAGAAATAAATCAGTTAATTAAAGGGAATGGTATGAACGTTGATGTTTGTTTTAACGTTTGGTTATTGGCATAACAAGTTGTAAGAAGTGTTTAACACGTTAACGAGGTCGAGGTTGAGATCCTGAGACTATTAACTCAACGAAAAACGACCTGATATGTTGTGGTGATGCAACAAGGAATAGAGAGAGATTCAATCTTTATGCATAATGTGGAGTTAAACCAATGTTTAAGTGTGGTTACGGAGATAATTTGTGTTATGAGTGTTTGTATGCAAAAGTAATGGAGAAAATCAATGCAAGGGACTTACACGCGATTCGGGATGTTGCTGAGACAAAGTGCATATTAGACAACTTGGATGTGAGTTGCGAGGAAATTGTGCAAAATTGACCTTTTGTAGGTTGCAACGTAGTTTAGATCAGTATGTATTTAGTGTATAAATTGATATAAATGTTCAATAGTTTGTCTTAGACACTTGATATGTATGTCATGTGTGTTGGTGTGTAGGCATCAATACCTGTTCAGAATCCTACACAACTTAAGACTTGGATAAATATATTATCTCTCTCTGTTTGTATGTGTGTTCTTGCATATATATATATATAGGGTTGGGTTCATGTGAGACCAACGTTTTTTCGTGAGACCCGTAAGATTAATTTATGTTCATCGATCAACTTTATAGGCTAATGATCTAATGGTCTAAAGTTGCAAGGTGACAATTTTGTAATTATTGAGAACTCTCGTGGAGTTTATGAATGTTCAGATTTGACGATTGTAAATCTAATCCAAGGGTTGAGAATTGGTCTTACGGGTCTCACGAAAAACACTTGGTCTCACATGATCCCAAGTCAATATATATATAGGGGCCCATTCAAGGGAGAACTGGTTGGTTTGTGGTAACTGTGAGATCCAATCTCAACCACAAATCAATAGATAAATTAGGAAATTAATAATTTTGGTAATTTTTAATTAAAATTTTAATGCAAAGACATTTTAAGTATTTTTTTTCTCCTCTCTCCTCTCTTCTCTCTCCGTCCCCATCTTCCGGCCACCATCCTCCGGTGATACCACATTGTGATACTCAAGCACATATAAGATGCATTGTGATACCATTGTGTTACATATATGATCGACCGCACAAACGATCATAGTGTGATACCCAATCACATATAAGATGCATTGTGATTCCACTGTGGTATCACCGGGGATGGTGGCCGGAGGCCAGGGGACGGAGAGAGAAGAGAGGAGATAGGAGAGAGAATACCTAAAATGCTCTTGCATTAAAATTTTAATTAAAAATTACCAAAATTATAAATTTTCTAATTTATCTATTGATTTGTGGTTGAGATTGGACCTCATAGTTACCACAAACTAATTAGTTCTCATTTGATTAGGCATATATATATATATATATATATATATATATACATAGACTTGGGATCATGTGAGACTATACTGTTTTCGTGAGACCCATAGTACCACTTTGTTACACTTAGGGTATGTGGAAGATAAACAATTAGTTTCATAATTTTTAAAATACATGCGGCAAAACAAGTCCATATGTGAACCCGTGTGATTCACATATGAAATATATGTTCATATGTAAACCTGTGTAATTCACATATGAACTATTAACTGATTCACATATGCATTATGGGTTTACATATGCACTTATGAGTTCACACATGCACTTGTTTGCTGCTTATTTATAAAAATTACGAAACTACCCCTCTATTTTTCATTTGACCAGTCAAAGTCGCAAATCTTGACCAATTATAGTCGCAATCTTTGACCTGTCAAAATCACAAATTTAGACCAATCTTGACGGTATGAAGGATTGCGATCACTTCTTTACTTCTCAAACGAACCTCTCCCTATATGTGTCTTTGTGTGTATATGCATGCACACACGTATGTTTTAAGGTATATGTGGTCATCACGGACTCACGTATGTTTTTAAGGTATATATGGTCATCATCTTCCCAAAATGCACAACAACAATTATTATACACAACTTGTAAGGGACTACCACAACAAGTCTACAACAAAACTTGTTTTTTAGGACGTTTTTATAAGACATTTTTTAAACAGTATCATATAAAAAAAATTTGCTTTTTAAGTTTCACTAGTTCTCTAACTTCTTTTAAAAACTTATTGTTTCATAAGAATGCAACTTCATGTTAAGTTATTTGACTTCTACTTCATACTGATAACTTAGTGTAATACGTTTGTATAAAACACATCAATTTAGTCTTAATAAATTTAAAAGTCTTATTTTTTTTAACACATTTATTTAAGTATTCCCTTGGTTACCTTAGTATTGCCAACAAGTATCCCTTATTAAAAAAATTAACATACCAACTTTATCTATACTATATTATAAAGAATTTGATAAAAAAAAATTTTAAAAACCATTTTTTATGTATAAAGTACTGTTTATTAATGCATATTACTTAAAATTTAAGATTACAAATAAATTGTGCATAATTACAACTTATTAAAGCTTCATTTTTTAATTTGTATGACTAATTGCGGATAAACATAACCAAATACAGGATAAACATCTCATTGTAAATATTAAAAATCTAAAATATAATTAGGATAATCATTGAGTTCTAACAGAATCATTATCTTTATAAAAATTATATTGTTAAGCTAGAAATATATTTCGCTATTAGACCTAAATTAAATTATAATAAAAAATTGAATTAAAGAAATTGTACAAAAAAACAGAACTTTTAAATAGTTAATTTGATATTAATATCGATATATTTTTTCAAAATTTTATGATATCCTTTAAATTTATTCAAAAGTGTAAACATTATCTTTCTCAAAACCACATAAACCATATTATATCAAAATAGACAAAAAAATAAAATGAAACATTAAAATGAAGATATATCTCGCTGCATTGCACGCGTACCTTTCTAGTCTATTGTTAAATGAAAACATATCTATTAATTTCTTTCTCATACATATCAATATTAACATTCATTTTTATATTTTTATTGTACGATTTGACTTGAATTTGACATAAATAAAGGTGTCTGTAGCAAAACCTTATATAGCTATATTTATGATAGGGGTTGATATTGCCACCCCCTATGATGACTTTCTACCCCTTTGTCAAATGTTCTCCTCTCACACACCATCTCCTCTCACACCATCTCCCTCACATATCACTCTCCTCACACCGATTCACTTTTTTTTAATTTTAAAAATTTAAATTTATATCTTATATCCCTATAATTAGTTAATTAATTTACTTTACGTCATTTTCTTTTAAATTTTTCATTTTATACCCTGATCAAATTAACATACATAATCGTATATCAATTAAAATATGTTTAAAAAATACGTTTTAATTTTAACAAGTTACACCATTATAATCATCGCGTCAATACCTTCGAAATAAGCCCAATATTGAATATTTTTTGACTTAATTATATTATTATATATTATATATTATGAAAAATATTTTTAATATTTACATTTATAGTTATTTATTTAATTTATGATATGTCATTTGTTTTTTCAATTTTTGTTTTACATCATTATCACATTAAAATACATAATTTTATATTAACTAAAATACGTTTTAACATGTCACGTTAAATTTTATTTCATATACATCAAGTAACATGTTACATTATGAACAATAATATTGACATTAAGTACAAAATACGTTAGGAAAATACGTTTTAACATGTGTACCCGTTTACATAATTGTAAAAATAATTTGATTTGAAATAAAGTAAAGTTACTGATTTGAAATAAAGTAAAGTTACTGATTTGAAATAAAGTAAAGTTATTGATTTGAAATAAAGTAAAGTAGTTGATTTGAAATAAAGTAAAAAAAAAATCGATATATATATCGAACGAACGAGTGAATCGTTCATTCGATATTTCACTCTCTTATATAACTCTCTCATTCCACTTGATGCAATCGATATATTTTGGAAAAAACTTGATTTTTCACCATGTGTGTCCACACAAGATGACGAGATTGGATGTGATGATGAAATTCAATTGTTCAAAAAAAAATTCAATAAGCAGTTGTATCATGGTCGTAAAAGTTTACTCAGAAAGTTGAAGGATATAATAATGCCATCAAAACCATACGATAAACCCTCGGTTCATAGAACCACTCGTGGCCGTCCATCTACAAAGAGTCAAACTTTGAATAAAAGAATTATTGAAGACCGTAGACGTAGTTGTTCTAACGTGCCATCAATTATTAACTCTGAAGATTTGGGGCATCAAGAATCAACGAGGCATAGTTCCTATTTCCAACGACAACCCACCACCCGACATCTGTATCTTGATCAAATCCTGAGTTTATTCCATCCATACATCATACAAATACAAGATGTATTAGGCGATGGAAATTGTGGATTTCGAGCGATATCTACTTGTTTGGGTGGTCATAAGATGAATGGGACAATATCCGCAAAGAGTTAATGATTGAACTAACTGAGTATGGACAATATTACTCTTATGTGATTGGCAATGAATGCTTACGCATTCACGAAGCGCTAATTTTTTTCCAAAAGGGCGTCTTCGCACCAGCTGCGCATTGGATTGTTATGCCTGAAATGGGCATTCTAACGGCTTCAAGGTTCAATGTCATAATGAATGTTCTCAATATGACAGGCAGTGTGACATACTTACCGTTTAGGACACAACCTCCGTCGTCATCTCAACACATGGCAATTGCAATAGTGCATGTTAATGGTAACCATTACATAAAGGTGGTATTA